TCAGGAGACTGAGGCACAAGAATTGAAAGTTCAAGTCTAGCCTCAGCAACTTAGTAAAATCCTCCCTACTGTCCTGGGGCTGACAGGGAAACTGCTTCTGTGACAGAAGCCTAAGGGAGAATTCCAAAGGAAGAAGCTTGGCAGTTGCGTGTATTGTGGTTGCACAGAACAGTGCTGAGCCACGGGTACAAACCTTCAGATATTTTATGTATCAACTAGATTTGTGTGGTACATTGGGAATCCATTCATTTGATGGGGGAACAAATCTGAATTCCCAACCTGGTTTATCAGTCCTGAAGCTGCCAACCATGCTTGCTAGGCTGACTCTATTTTCAGATTTTTTTTTGCATGTACTAGTTTTATAATTTTAGTTCGTTCATGAAAACATGCAGGGTGACTAACTACTGGTGACTCATCCTCACATTATCCCTGTGTGCCTGTTGATATATTCTGCAAGGGCTTGGGAGGAACATCCCTAATGACACGTTTCCGAATGCCCTGTGTGGCTCTATCAGCATCCTTCAAGGTTCCCTTTATCATCTATCTGAAGCTATTTGGAGTGACCATCACCCCATGGGGAATTACTATCCACAAATCCCTTGTTATTTGAAAACAACATTGTCTTGCATCAGTTGCAAACTGGACATAATTTTATCCACATCATCTTGATAAAGTTGATGAAGGTTGGTTTTGCTTCCTCTTCCTGTCTTGTGAGTCACTTATAGATTTTTCTGCCAGGCTAACCTCAATTGTCTCACGTGTACAACTGCAGTTTTCCTACTTATCAATTAATCCAGGCTATAATTGACAGGCAGAAGGACTAGCCCTTGGGTTTTGAAACGTGATAGCAAGGCTTGATAATTACCATTTGTCTTTAGTTACCTTCAAGAGTAAAATTCCTTCGGTTGCAGGTCATGGGAGTAAACAGATATTTTCACCCAGAGACACAGTTTTCTTGAAACCCATCAACAAATGTGATCTTTCTCTTCTCTCAGGTCCTCCGAGGTAAGAATGTTAAAACTGGTAGAGTGCTAAAAATATATTTCTTGATCTCCCCCACCCCTTTGTTGACATACATTTGAAGTTTTTTCTTCACACTGTGCTTAATACATCCAAGTGCAGAAAGCTTATATTCATACATTGGCTTTCCCGTGTTTTAGAATTTGGCATATTCATAGTGAAAAAATGACTGATTTGATAAATGTATATTTGCATAATACAATCTTGGACTTTTTTTCCTCCTCCTCTTTCTTTTCTTCATTCTTCAAATGTAAAACCCGTTGAGGTTCATTAAAAAAAAAAAAAAAAAAAAAAAGGCCAGGGCTTGAACCTAGCTCATGGCTCAGTGCTGTCATATTTGGTTAATTAGTGTGAGGAAGCGCTTGCAGACAAAAAAAGAATTCAACGAACATTCCGAATTTCCTTCCTATCTCTGTCACCAAGCTGCACACAGCTACGTGCTCTTTCAGGGGTTGCAATCGGTTCATCTTTGCATTCTGCTCTTTAAAAGCAGTAAGGTACATTTCTGTGGGTCACGGCAGCTCACATTCTTGTGAATCACCTCCAGCCCCTTAGGGCAGAGACCCATTGCAATATAATTGTACTTCCTTTTATCCTTAGTTATCTGCATTGTATTTGCCCAAGGTAAATATTTTCCCAGCAGTCAGCAGGTAATTAAAATTCTGAACCTTTTATGGCCCGGGATCCTTATCCATTTGAAAAATACTCACCTAGGTGGATGGTCCAGAGATGCAAAGGTATGTAGACTGGATGATCTGGATGCAGAGGAATCTGAGGACCTGGGAGCCGGGGGAGTGGGGGAGGCCCCCATCAGGGCCCCACCTGTGGCAAAGAATCTCTTTTGGAATGGCCAATCCCCCTGACCTGCCCTGGAATTTTTACAACCAGAGGCCCCTCCTTTGTGGCAGACAATGAAGGTACGGGTGTGGTGTCTTTACAGTTTGTGTGCCCAACTGTGTGTTTTGGGGAGTAGGCAGAGTATTCTCATTAGTACCAGTTGTTTTTTTCTTTTTTGGCTCTGGAGATGCGGGAATTGGGGATTCCACGACCTGTAGGGCAGGAGCTGGGGCCCGCACTCTGAGTGACGTGAGCATAGTCCAGACCTTGTGAAAGCCGGGTTCAGAGATCGCTGGAGGTTCTTAGGCGGCGGTTTCTCGCCTGGGGCTTTAAACACCAGGCAGGTGGAGGTCGAAGGCCAGCCCGCCAGCTCCCCGTGGTCCTCTCTGCCCTGGGGACCCTCTCGCGGGTGCTGGGTTCTGGCGGACTGGCCTCTGGAACTGTCTGGGAGCGGAGCGGTTTCAGAAAAGCTGACACGTCACTCCCTGGCAGGGCCCAACCGGGCCACGACATTTGTGGGACTGCCTGCTTTTCCCCTCACCCCGATCTCAAAAAGCCTCAAAATCAATTTTAAAAACTCAGATAGATGACCCAAGGTCCTTAGGAGGAAGCAGTGTTTCATCATCTGACCTCGGCGAGAGCCGCGCCGCCCAGAGCCCGGGAGCCCGTCCGGCGTGGCCGACACTGCCCCCTGGAGGCCGCCGCGCGCGGGGCAGGCGCGGCCCCCGCCCGACCACGTGGCTTCTTGGAGCTGCCGGGACTCCAGCGCTGGCGCGCTCCTCGGCTGCGTCCTTCCTTCCGCGCTCTCTGCCAACGCCCTTTCCATTCCCGCCGCCCCTCCGCGCCCCCCACTTTTATTCTACCAGGAACTACTGCGGTTGGGGTGGCCCGGCTGGGGGCTGACTGCCGCGGGGCAGGGGTGTTTGGGGGGATTTTCAGATTGAAATTGGATGCTTTTGGGGAGCGAGTTCTATTCCTTTGCACATGTTGCTCTAGAGAGATTTTTATTTTTTTTAAAGTCAATGATATTTTTTTTTTGAGTAGTTCATGCTGTCTGGCCTGGACAGATGTCTTGAGATGGGAAGGCGCTGGGTTGCCTTTACAAACCGAGGGCAAAGGAGGTGGGGGATTGTGAGAGGAGCGAGGGAACCTCTTTAAAGGAGGGTGGGAGACCTGGCCTCTATCTGGGCATGGAGTTGTGTGATGAAAGCGCTTGAGGCTTTTGAAGGATGGGGTTGGGGTGGGCAGTGGAAAGTGTTTCCGTTTGATAAAAAGGCCTCGTGGGGCTCACTGTGTGAAAAATGCGTCCACTAAGTAGAGTTGGGAGTTCCCTGGAGTTGTGGCAGGTAAGGGTTGTGCCTTGTGGACATGGAGGGAGCAGGGGATTCCAGAGGCCTTTCAGAGACAGCCTTAGTTGATGGAGAGGGAAGGGTGAAGGGATGACCCTCAGGCTCCTGGTTGGAGCAGTCCAGCCTCAGCGAGATTAGGAGCAGATTGGAGAGGAGGGTCACCAGGTCTGTTGGACAAGTGGACTTCGAATTTTTGAGTAGATGGTAGATCTCGTGGGAGGGCATTTGAGTTCTTTTGGTGACAAATAACAGAAGCCTAGGGGAAAGAAACTTGGGAGGGTGGACTTCTGAGTTTCCTCCTGGAGTCAAGCTCAGCTGTCCTCTCTTTGCTCAGGCTGACCTTACCAAGCCTTCTAGCTCTAGCAGGTAACTAAAAAGAAAGTCAGAGGCATGCCAGTGAGATGCTTGTAGTTTATTGTAGAGAGCAAGACCAGGCAGGGTGCAGCAACAGGGGCTTGGCAGTTGGACGTTTCTGGTTTCCAAATATGGTAGGCTTTGCATTTCTAAACCCCAGCACATCGTGGACTTTTTAATATTTTGTCCTGAAACAAAGAATGGAACAAAATCCCAATAGAGTAGTGAGTGAACCTCAGAGTTCAATGGGGATGATGGCCCACAGAGACTTTGACATATACTAAGGGTTCAGAAAGCTCTAGGAGGAGTAAGGGGAGCTGGGTGTGGTGGCCCATGCCCGAGGTCCTAGTTACTTGTGAGGACCCAGGAGTTGAGACAGTGCCAACTGAGGCAACAGAGTGAGACCCCATCTCAAAATAAATAAATAAACAAACCAATAAATAAATTTCAAAGAGAGGGGAAATGCCGAGGGAGATGCCTGGGCCGCCTTGCCTGGGCTGTCCATTGGTCCTGTGGTTCTCCCCACTGCATGAGAAATGGGGCTGAAGAATGGGGTGACACTGTAGCTGAAGGGCTTGGGGAGGCCACTTGTACCTGCTGTGAGTGAAGGATACCACTTACTGAGAGCTTCAGGACATTCATTTTGATCCCCACGGGGAGGGTGTCCAGCAGCTTCTTCATCTGGATTCCTGCCTCTTTCATGTCGGGATCAGGGTTGAATGGTTCCACTGAACTCTCGTAACTGGAGAGTGTGCCCATGAAGAGGGTTTCCATGATATGAAAAAATTCAGGGCAGGTCTCTGCAGAAGCTGGAATATAGCAAAGAGAAAGCACATGGTTGCAGGCCCTTTTCCAAGCTGGCCAGCCCTCTGCTGGGCCTGCCCCAGATGCAGACATCCAGGCCCCTCAGCAAGAGATAGCAGCTTTTTGTTGATGCACTAGAATGTAGGATCTGGTGATGCTCCAAGCAGTTGATGATTTGGCACTGTGTGAATATGTTCTAGGTCATGGCCAGCTTTCCATGGCTTGCTCAAGCCATCCTGAGTCTTCCTGGGATGGGATGGCCTTTTATTTTTTTCTTGCTGGAGTTCTAGGTAGAGTCTGGATAGGAGAAGCTGATGGTCTGATTTTTTTTTTTTTTTTTAATGCAGTGTCTGGGCTGGGAGGAGAAAAATTTGAAAACTTTGGTTTCCACCAGAAACGCCTCCCACTTGTGGTTAATGATGGTCTGAGCCACGTGTCACTGAGGGCAAGTGGCAAAACCCTTTACTAGCCCAACATGGGTTCCCAAACCTGGTGGGGAAGACAAAGGCACACGTGGTATTAGGCCTGTGGCACTCTCAGCTCTTTTAGCTCACTGTGTTCCCTTCTGCTGGACTGCTGCCAGATTGTGCTGCCTTCTCAGGTCCCTTCCTTCAGGAGCATGGGGGACAATCACCATTTCCTACGTTCTGGCTGCTTCCAGCTTCCCACTGAGCCTCAAATCCCTGTCCTTGAATTCTCTGCCTTGTGTGCAAATTCAGCCCCACTCCAAGTGGAACCCTCTCCAGGACTCAAGTCCCCTCCTTTCAGTTCACAATGTTATCAGGTGACATACTTTATCTTTCAGTAGCTCAGTTTTCTTCTCTGTAAAATGGGGACAATATCTTTGCTTCCTTGGGTTGTTGGATGAATGAAAAGAGATAGTATGTTAAGAGGGTTAAAACCAGAATGATACATTATAAGTGCTAAATAAGTGCTGAGTATTGTTATTATTTTTATTACTGTTGTATGCACATATATGGATATACAAATGTACTCCCAATCCACCCCTTAACATATTTCAGTTATATCTTGCTGAGCCACCCACCTCTAGGCACTGTAATGAGATCTTCTAATTAATAAACATTCAGTCCAAAATGATGTCATTTCCCCTGAAAAACAAATAAACCTCTCTGCAAGATAGCTGTTCCCACTGCCTCTTGGTTTGGGTTGTCTAAGCCACCAGAGTCATAAAACGTATATCCATGGGTATTATGAAATTTTGCAACTGAATTAATTGGAGTTTGTTTATTAAAAAAAAAATAACAACAACGTTTTCAAATAGGAGTGGAAGAAGTTGACGGAGAGCAAAAAAACACAGTTAGGTAATCCTATTCCCCAAAGACAGGGTGCTGATCTCCTCCCTCCCTTGACATCTTCTTCCCTCCTTCCCCCTCTCATTTTCATTCCTTTCTTCTTAGTTACAGCAGTGACTACTTAGAGACGCCTAATCCTTTCTGCAGAGGACAAAATGTTTAGAGAACTCCACTCTTGGTCAGCAGTTTCCCAGGAAAGATCCCTTATTGGAATCTTCCTTTCTGACTTTGCCTTGGGTTGGGTTTCTTTTGAAGACATGAGTCTCTGCAGTTTGCCTTCCAGACTAACGGCCAGATTTGGGTGAATTCCCCAAACCCGGAGGTTGTACCAAGGTCTTTTGACATCTTGGGGACTGTCCCAGGCGGGGCTGGAGGGGCTCATTGTCCCTATCCCATTTGTTCTTGGGTGGATGCTCTCGTCTGCATGGGATCTCCTTCATACCTCCCCCTCAGGCTTTTCCATTCCCTGGAATTTTGAGGTCTTGGGTATGGAAGATGGGGTCCTTCGCAGGTTTTCTTACAGCTTGGCGCTCTGAGAATCAGCATTCCCAAGCCCTCCCAGCACTAGAGAGAGGATGCGGGCAGCTCATCACCCCTTCTTTTGAGCAGAATGAGGTGGTGCAGAGTTTGGGAGCCCACTCTTGGGAGGAAGGGACCCTGGATACTCACCAGAGCTGCAGCAGACAGCCAGTAGGACAAGGGTGAAGGTGACTATGAGCTTCATGGTGGGAGGCCCTGGTGATTCTGGTTGTCTCTGGATCCTGTCGTCTTGTGGCCTTCGGAGGCATTGGTGCCTTCTTATATGCTGCAGGCAGTGCCCAGAGGGAGGAGGTCAGGGTGCAGGCTCCACTGAAGAGACTGCATTATTTACTTGGGCATCAGCTCTGTGGAATAAGTAAACACTCTCTTTTCTCAACCAGTTTCTGTGGTCATTGAAACTGAACTCACATAATGGGCCACCTGGAGGGGGGAGGCCCCGAGTACTGTGTGGAGGTAACAAGGGGAACCTGAGTCAGAGGGCATGAAGCCTGGCCACCTGTGCTCTCTCTTTGAACCGGAGCACTGGGGCAGGCCAGATCAATGGGAGCAATTGTAGAGCCCACCTGGACGCACCATCCCAGGAAAGACAGAGGCCCGAGGACCCTCACAGGTGGCAGGGACAGGGCTTGGATGGAGGACCCTGATTCTCCACCGGCTCTTCCACTGCTTCCCTCCAAGGAAGGAGGCTGGACCACAAGCCACAGGTTCCTGTGATTCGGAGCGTCCCTGTGGTCAGGGTTGGGGGAGACCTTGGATCAAAGCACATGGACTTCTCCAGCGCACGCATCCGAAATCGAACCCCAGATTTTAAGCTGGATGATGTTGTGCATCAGACGAGGTCTGTTCCCACCCAGAAGGGCCACCTGCCCTTCTGGTGGCCAGGTGCAGGGGCACCTTCAGTCTTATCTCGCTTGACCTCTTACTGGTCTTCGCCCTGCTGACCTTCTCCTCCTCCACCCATTCTCTCCCCTGCGCTCCCACGGCAAGTTCTTTCCTGTTTTCCTTCCCCGGCCATTCCTTCTTGTTCTGTTTAGCTGTTTACTCTTTGCTGACCGGCCTTAAGTGTTGGGAGTTCCCAGGCTTTGACCTTAGCCTCTTTCTTGCCTCCCACGGCCACTTTCTCTGCTTGTTCCCTTCCTTCTCCAGGGCCCTTGTTCTATGACCACGGGCCTCCTGGACGGAATGCGGCTCCTCCCCGGCCTCCCTGCCTCTCGGCGTGCTCTGCTCAACCATCTCTGAAGGGCCATTGGGATGATCTTCCTAAAGCCCACGGATCATGCCGTTCTGCTTCTTGAGACCCTTTCAAAGCCTCCTCTTGCCAACAGGATAAAATTCAAGTGTGATTTACAAGGCCTTTGCCCACCAGCCTTTTCCAAACATCTGAACTTCCCTTCTCTACTCCCCAGCAGGGCACTTTAACTCTCTCTTCCTATTTGTGGACTTGGGCATGTTCCATGTTTTCTTCCCGCCTTTTCACCTTTGCACAAACTAAGCCCCATGCCTGGAATATGAGTTTCCTGCCTTGCCCATTTCTCCAAATCCTATTTGTATTTCAAGGCTCAATTAAACATCCACCCATTAATTTATTCAAAAATTCCGAGCATCTTCTCTGCCCCAGGCACTGTGCTAGGAGTTGGGAATTGGGGTAGACACGGAGGGGCACTGTAGGAGCCCCTTCAAGATGAACTCTCTGCCACTTGGCCTCCAGGAGTGTGGTCAGAAGACAAACTCCAGCTGCCAGTAACCCAGAGAACTGCCTTTCTCAAGGTTACACTGTCCCTGGAGGCTGATCACATTTGGTGGCAGAACAAGAAGGGGCTCTAAAAGCCTGGGCATTGCCTTTCCTTCCCTCCCTTCTTGTCTTTTTCCGAGTTGGAGTCTTTGTTGCCTAGGCTGCTGTAGAACTTCTGGGTGCAAGCGTACCTCCCTCCTCAGCTTCCTGAGTAGCTGGGACAGGTATGCGCCACTGTGCCCAGCAAGCCTGGGCATTTTTGCACCAGGTGAACAAGTCTGGTGGGCAAACCTCCAGAGCCCTCTGCCTGGTTGGCTGAGAGGCAGTTCAGCTTTTCCCTCTGCCAGATCCTGCTTCCGTCTCAGGTACAGCTTCCTGGTTACCATCTTGCCTTCCAAGCTCTGTCTCAGCATCTGCTGTCCTGAGGGTAACTATCCAGGACAGGGATACAGGGACCACGAACCAGACCCAAATCCCTGTGAAACTTCACTTGAGTGGTGACGATAGACTAGTAAACAATCAAACAGATGAAATAATTACAGGTTGCAATACTTGCTTGGGCAGAACTAAGCAGGGTGCTGAGACCTACTTAGATGAGGGACTCAGGGTGGACTTTCTAGGTAGATGGCTTCATGCTGAGGCCCATAGAGGGTTCCAGGCAGAGGAGACAAGCAGCACCCAGGGCTTAGGACAGGAAGGAGTCCAGTGTGCCTGAGAGGCAGTGCCTGGAACATAACAAGCCTCAAGCTAAGAGCTTTAGGCCCCGAGTACTGGAAGCTCTTGAAGATTTTTATCAAGGAGTGACATGCTCTGATTTCCCATCTGCTGAGATGGACCCTGGCTTGGGCATTGGGGTTCAAAGGGTGCTGTTTCCTGAAACAGAAGTCTTGGGAGTAAGAGGGCTGGGAGCAGGAACAATGAAGTCTTCGACAGGCTCAGTGATAACTCTCTCTGGGTCTGTCCCCACCCCTGTTTACAGTGCTCACTGTATGTTATTTTAACCTTGGGATTCTTTATGTGTAAGACTCCTTTGCTGGCTGAATAGGAATCCCTGGCATGGATCAATGAATAAGTCCTTTGCATTATGTTTTATTTGGAGGCCATGGCGACCCGCACTGTCCGACTTCAAGGCACCTCGACAGGGTTGAGAGCACAGGTTCCAAACTAGCCTCAGCCAGGACTTGTCAAGTAAGTGACCGTGTGGCCCTACTGCAAGGCACTGGGTAGCTGAAGAGTCAGGGAAGATCTGAACTGATCAGGAAATGATCTTCTAGACAGACTGCAAACCACAGCACAGAACAGGGTAAAACTGAGGCAAAAGACACCATGAATGTACTTACTTGTATGCCTGCAAACGATCTCTTCAGTGGATGGTAATGGTTGTTTCTAGAAAGGAGAAGCATTTGGAGGGGACTGAGAGGAGACTTTTCACTATGATTCCTTCGGTAACTTTTTTTTTTTTGTATAAATTTATCATCAATCCAAAATAATTTTTTTAAGAAGAGAGAACAGGGCTGACACCTGCTACTACTTGGACACACCTCGAGGACATTATATTTTGTGAAATAAGCCATTCAGAGAAAGACAGGCACATGTGATTCCCACTTATATGAGATACCTCAGGAAGTCGAATTGATAGAGAGAGAGAGTAGAATGGTGGACCATGGGGAGTTAGTGTGAAGTGGGGCAGTTTCGGAGTTTGCTTGCTGAAGAAGAGTTTTGCACATCTGCAGGTGGTGGTGGTTCTATAAGAAGGCCAAGGCACTTTTAAATGTGTTTGAAATGGTAAAATTCATATTAAGTGAATCCTTCCACAATTAAAAACAATAATATAAAAAAAGAGAGAGAACAGGTTGAAGAGTGAGACTAAATGGATTGAGTGTCAGACCCATCGCATTGGAAGTGAATTGCCTTGAACCAAGAAATTCACCTCTCTCTGTCTCGATTTCCTTGTTGTCTAAGGAGCATAATAAGGTCATCTATGCTTCTGGCTCTGACCAGGGAGTCATGGAGTCCTAGTACAGAGAGTTGCTCAGTACAGGAGGGCAAGTGCCACATGTTCACATCTCCACCTGGAATGTCTTCCAGATTCCTTGGTCGAGTCTACACATGTGTGAATCGGGGCAGCAGAGGATCTTGAGTAAGCCTTGGCCTGGGCCATTAGGTTGAGCGTTTCCTGAACTGCCCTGCTGTGTCCATCAGCTATACCTCTGGGCTTAGCTGACTCCTTTGCCTCTGGCTTGACCCCAAGACAGGCGTTAACAAGTGAGGTTACTGCAGGAAAGGGAACTTCCAAGGTTGCGCTGTAGGAAAGCCTCCTAAAGAGGCTCAGAATGCCCAGGACACTTTGTATCCTTGTCTTGCAGTCCTAGAGTGAGGACATCTCTCTGTATCCTCCCCCGGAGGAGTAGTTAAACACAAGGCCCTCCTGGATGCATGGATGACCATTGGCTGTGCAGAGAGTGGCTTGATAAGTGTCATGGAGACAGGAACCTTAAAAATGCCAACATCAAAGGCTCTAGTTTGCTTCTTCCAGGGAATCCTTCACGGTCATATGATAGGAATTAGCTTGTCTTGTGCTTGTTTCTGACATTTCTGCTCCTCTCTGACTCCTTGTTTCTCTGTGTTTATCCTTTAACCCTTTTTCCTCCCTCCTCCATATTACCTCCCCTCCCAACAAGGCCCTGGCTCAGTGCGGGGACAGCTGGCCTCTGTTGATGGTTTCCTGCCATACTTGGTAATGGCCCTCAGCAGTTTCCCAGGCCCAGCTGGTGGAGGTGGGAGTCTGGGTGGGATCTTGACTCCACCACCAAGTAGCCTAGACAGGCTTCTCCATCCCGGCCCTTGGGAGAGCCCTACCTGGCCATGGTGGGCCTTTCTGTCCCCTGCCCTGGAGCCTGCACAGCTCCTGCTTCTCTGACCCACCATGAGGGACAGTGAGGCAGAAAGTGCTGATCAAGGGTCAGAGTTCGAGCCTCAGAGTGTTGAGCCTCTTAAACTCAGACCTCAGCTCCCTCATCCTCAAAGCCTGCACTGTGCTGAGGCCCAGGCCAGAGCCCTAAGCCCACCTGGCACATGGAAAGGGCGAGAGCCCCCATTTCTGGCTGCTCATGGACCGTTATCTGGTCACTTTGCAAAGATAGCCTTCTGGGGGAAGACAAGTCACTCAGTTATTACCACCAAGGGGACAGCAGTGAATTGGCACAGTTCCTGCCAATCTTTCCACACCCTCAAGCCCTATGTTGCCTGTGCCTGGATTTGGGAGAGCCCTGATCCCTGGATTGCTGGAGCTTCAAAGGCTGGGCCCGTCGACCTCTGGGGAGCCTGCTAAGATGGTGTAAGCACCTTGGGCCTGGTTCCAGCTTTTAGGAAAGGTCAGGGGAAAGAACTTCACCCAGAGTCTGAGGGTCGAGGGTGCTGAGGGACCTGGAGGCCTGACCCGGCCCCCTTCCCATACAAGGGGTATGTGTTGGTAATACATGTGGGTGCCAGGTCTTTGAGCACATTCAATAATCCTCCGTGAGGCTTC